ACCCGCCCCCGCCCCCGATTATTTTTTGGGTAATAAATAATTATTTATAGCAGAATTTTACATGTTAAAAATAATAAAGTAATGGAATCTTAAAAACATTATACCAACAACTTAAAAACATGTTTTTTGTTGAATTTTGGAAGCTCTAACTCATGTTATTGTTTATTATATTTATATAATTAATATAAGTAAATATATGTATAATTTATTAACGGGGTCCCCATGGGGGTTTCGGGACGGGATTGCCCACCCTCTCCCCCGACCCCGAAATTAAAATGGGGGTTAACCTTGCCCCCGCCCCCGTCCTCGCCCCCGATTTTTTTAATAAATACCCCAAACGGGACGGAGCCCCCACGAGAACGGGGTCCCACGAGACTTTTTGACATCCCTAGGAATTCTTGTTCCTTTAGTAGTTGCAGGTTTTAACTTTGATTGTTGTAGGTTTTAAATGAAACCCAATGTTCGTCCTCACTTTCTCTATCTCGAAACCCTTAAAGTAACTTGAAGGCCCTTATATTCTTCTAGTTGGGAGATAGTTTCACGAAATTCGAACCGGAGTTTTAATGTGCATATTTCTAGACTTGGATGTGGCTTGTCGTAGAATTGGAGTAACTTTCAGATCTACCTAAAGCACTTTTATTCATCATAACTTTAGAATAAGTGGTTTCTCTCCCTCAAATGAGAAATAGAGAGTCATCGTTATGGATTTCCAATCACATATACAGAGGATATGAGAGAGACGAATAACGGTGAATAATGATGGGGATGATGGTGTTTGGTCAAAAATAGAGAGATAAAGAAGATGAATGATGAGTGAGGTGAGAAAAGATGATTAAGTATGTGTGTGTGTGTGTGTGAGAGAGAGAGAGAGAGAGAGAGAGAGAAGATATAAAAGGCGGGGTGAGGTGGGGTATGTGGGGCCTTTTCATTATTTAATAATAATAAAATAGAAAGAAAAAAGGAAAATAAAATGAATTAAAGGTATAATAGTCATTTTAGTTTTAAGAGGAACCAAATCTACAGCCAAACCTGTCGAAAAGGACCAACAATCCAAAACTTTTGTGGTTTGGACCATTTTCCTGAAAAAATGCATACTACAAGGACCATTGTTGCAGTTTTGTCTACATAAAAAAAAGAAATGAGAGAAATGTGGTTGACATTAGATTTCACCACATGGATATCTACTTAATTTATCATTAGATGTTATGGTGCAATACTTGTGATTTAATTTAACTTGACTTTAGTGATTTATAACCATAAATTACCTTAACTCTTCTTTGTTATTAAAATAGTTAAAGAAGCTCAAAACTTGTAATACCCGCGTTTTTCATTAAGCATTATGTCGAAATGTTCTTATTTACATTCGTAAATAATGTAAATTTTATTATAAATAAATAAATAAGAATTCTTCATACACGATAGTGTTTGTGTAAATGTTATTTGTGTGTGTGTGTGTATATATATATATATACACACACACACACACACACCTTAAGTAGTCGTGATTACAAACCCATGAGCATAAAAACCGTTAAAATCTAACGTCATATGAAGAATGTATGTTTTTTTGAAGTTACGCGTTACAACGCATTGCGTCGGTATTAGTTATAAATACAAAAAGAAAATATATTTCTTTTTATCCAAAGTTGTCTTGATTAAAGTTGTAGTATGCGAAATTACAAATCAGTGGATATAAAAAACGTCGAAAACGAAGTTTGTATGCGAAAGTTACAACTATCTAAAGAAAAGGAAAATTTACCTGGCAGCCACCAACCCCTTCTACCGGGTGCACCAAAAGTTCCCACGTGCCGGCTAGAGAGCTCTTATTTTTAATAATAATAGAATCCTTTTGGGTTGCCCTCAAGACCCAAATTGAGTAGAATGAATAAATGAGAAATTAGTTTACTAATTATTATGATTAGTAATTGAGAAATTAAATATCATCTTACTTTTCTTCATACTTATCTTCCTACCTATATAAAACGATTACAAGTGTCTTAAAATATACTTAATTTTATCAAAATACGCCACTTGTCACCATTTCAATGGGTAGGAAGATAAGTAGTAATAAAAGATAGGAAGATATTTAATTTCTCTTAATAATTAATTAGAAACTAATTGGAAAATATTTTGGAAATTAATTAAATAGTTTAACTAATTAAATGGTTGAATTTTTATTAATCAATAGTTGATTAATCATGAATGTTTCAGAACCCTTATGAGATTAGGGTTTGGACGAAATCCCTCTTGGATAAGAGAGAATTTCAAAATTGGCTCCTTCTCCCACATGGGATGGACTACAAAACCTAGGAAGGGATCCAATGCTATAAATAGGGTCTTAGGGATTTTATTCTTCCTTGCTCCTTTGGCTTGAGATCGACTAGCAAAAACTCATCTTATGAGATCAACTAGTGAAAACTCACCTTGTCCAGAATTTTATTTTTCCTTGCTCCTTTGGCTTGAGATCGACTAGAAAAAAACTCATCTTATGAGATCAACTAGTGAAAACTCACCTTGTCCATAGTCATTGGGTATCAGCTAGACTTGATATATGAACATAAAAAGTTGTCCTAAAACTAGGGATCATCCTTGATCTTTATTTGAACCAATTGTTAAGGTGGACTTCAACGTTTCTTCTTAGGTGACCACATGTCATTTGCCTTAGTCTGTCTTTTTTATTAGGTCTTCACTCCTACGTTGAACAATACAAGAAATACAACAGTAGTCCCAAGATGTTGGCTTATTCAAGATCTTGGGTCATTCAAGATGTTAATACAGGTTCAAGATGTTAGATATAATAAAATAAGGTTATGAAAATATTACTAATAACAACAACTGACTAAGGTTTTTAGCTATAAAAGGGTATCATATCATTCAATAATAACCAATCATGGTTTTAGCTGTAGAAGAATTCACAATATCATTTTACAATTACTAGTTATGGTCGCAACAAGCTTATCATAACATTAATATTTATGAATACTTGTATCTTTCACACAATTTAACAATATTCACATGGCTAGATACCAAATTATCAAAAAGGGAAGCATGGCTACTGACCTTAGATTTTTTTACTTGAGGATAAGTCCCAAATTCTTGTAGTTACTTGTTAGATTTTGTCTCCGAAACTGTTAAAACAACACAATATAGTTGAGTATTAAAACTCAACAATATAACTAGCTTTCCAATCAAATAATTTAACTTCAACAATTCTCCATAACCATCTCCAACATCAATTCAACCTTTACCAAACTTGAGCTTCAACTTATAAGTTCATCTCATTCGATCAATTTCTCATCCACTAAAGCTTCGTTTCATATCATTTTTTGGAAATGGAACTTCCCAAACGAGAGTTCCGAGCCAACTTTCGCGCATCGACTAATCCCCCGCTACAAACATGAGTCTATGCCTCATGTTCAGGAGTCACTGCAGATGAACCTCCATGACCATAGGGGCTAAGTACTGTCAAGATTTGAACATGAGTCAATAAGTTATCCACCATATATTCCAAATGCCTTACCAAGTCACCACAACCCATGTGGTTTTGTTTCATATCAATTTGTAAGCATACAAACTTACTTCCAAGTTTCAAGTAATTTACGCAACTTAAGGTTTGATACACTAATTTCCAATCTTCACAATAAGATTTACATGCTTTATTTTGAAGGTTTTAAGCCACCAAACACGTAATTAACACTCTACTTATCTTGTCGAACATAATTCTCATCATCCAATAACACATAAGAACTAGGGTTTTCACAGCCCTCTTTCAATTTAAACACCAAAGCAAAAAATCAACAAGAGCATAAGCAATTTACCTTAGATTCACAGGAAAATCAACCCTTGTATTCTGTCTTTTAATTCACTCCAATTTAATCTCAAAGCCTTTAGAAGTAATTATCCCTTGTCTCGAGAGTATTATGGGTGTTTGAGGTGTTTTTGAGAAGCAAATGGTGACATATCCTTTTATCAACTTCTAGGAAGTTCGGCAACATTACACGGCCATGTCTTTCAAAAACATTTGAAACATCTAATGTATTCTTAAGCAAAAAACAAAAATAAAACATGAAGCTGTACTAAATATGCAAATATATACACATGGTTCATTTGTACAACAAAATACATACATACACAGTACATTTAAAGTGAATATAAAAATCATACAACAAGAGACAAACATATAAAATATGTATGAAGCAAATTGATAAACCTAAAGACTAAACAAAATGACAATGAGAAAACTCAATTTCTCAATGCCCAAAATGTGAAACATGTTCTTTGTTTTTAGCCACATTCCAGCGTGAGCAGGCAAAAGAAACTTTTCAGTAAACATAAAATGTATGGAATCAAGAAATAAATTACCCAACATCGGGGCCATTTTTTGGATTTTTGTATTTTGCAGTGGCTACTTGGAGGCATATGGAGAATTTTGAGCTATATGTTTGATATTTCTCCAAAATTTTCTATTTTTGATCATTTCAGTCAAATGATTTCCCGCGATTCGCCTTGGGGTAAAACCAAACCTTAATCAGTTTTTCCAATTAGGGCCTTGAGGTTTAGGCGCTTCGACTTCCTCTCCTGTATAAACTAAGGTAATGTAAATGATTCCACTTTCTCTTTTAAGTTTATTCCATATGGTTATGGTTTCAAATGCAATACGTGCTTGCATCTTGCTTTTCTTGTTCATCATTGCAAATAAAATGTTTTCGACAGGAGTCCGTTTATGTATGACGGTTTACTTCCACACACTCTGCATTATAACACTTTTCTTCATGAATTGATATGCGTATCTGCATAATTTTAAGTGGAAAAGATCGGAGTACCAAGAACTTTATAATTCCTTGTAAAATTTAGTGAAATAGTTTCAAATCCTCCGCAATTGCTTCTACGTTTGTCTATATTTACTTCAATATTTTATTCTTCATCCTTTCAGGTGAGAGTTGTCCAAATCTCCATTAATGTTTGTATCATCGAACTCCAATTGAAAAAAATAAAAATAAATGAGTTCGAGAAGTAAAAATGAAGATAGGCTTAGCTCTTTGCCTGAAGAGGTTGTTTCACATATACTCTCTTTAATGCCTACAAAATTTGCTGTGCGAACTAGCGCTTTATCCAAAAGATGGAAATACAGTTGGAAGTTTGTCACAAACCTTGACTTCAACGATTATTACCCTTATAATGGTCTAAATTGCTTCTCAAATTTTGTGGATCGGGTATTGGAGCATTGCAAAACATCACAGCTTAAATCATTCAAGTTAGGTCTTTTTCGTGTTTCAGTGCAAAAGTCAGATGTTGCAAAGTGGATTAACGAGGCAATTAGGTTAAATGTTTGTGAGCTTGACATACATGTTAGTCCAATTGAGTTGCCTCTCAGCCTATTTACTTGCAAGACACTTACAAGATTAAGATTAGTTGTGGCTTTTCGTGACTCGGATGTTTTTAATGTTTTATCTCCAATTATGCTTCCTGGTTTGAAAACTCTTGACCTCCTTGTTTCTAGCAAACCTTCTGTCACTGTATTACGATTCATCCATGGATGCCCAATACTTGAAAATTTATCTCTGGAGATAATGTTTTCTTATGATGAAGAACACTGCAACTTCAACATCCCTACTTTGAAGCGACTGGAATTAAGAATGGGTAGTTTTTTTAACAGCAAAGTTATTTTGAATGTCCCTAATCTTGAATACCTTTCTGTTGGTGGGTGCCACTGCCCACATTTTGTGATGGGAGATTTCTCATCTTTGGTTGAGGCAACTGTTTGTTTTAGTAGTATAAGAGATTATCATCAGAAGGTTGAGCTTCTAAAAGGATTAAGTGGAGTTAAATCACTTTCGTTGCTCACTTCAACTCTTAATGTAAGGTTCCCTTTAAAAAACTTTCGTGTATTACTTTCTTCTTTTCCTCTAAGACTTTTTCATTAAGACCATGCAATGTTCAACTTTTAATTTGCTATTTTTGTTGAAGGAATTTGTACATTCACATTTGCCCAAGTTTCCCAAATTGAAGCATTTGGAATTGAAGGATTCTTTCAAATCTCCATGGATCTTAGTTAGTCAAATTCTTGAAAGCTCTCCTGAGTTGGAGCATTTATGTTTTGAAGAGGTAAGTGGACTGTTTCTAAGCTTTGGCATGTCTTATTATTCTATGTTTCCTAAGTTATTATTCCACACATAACATAACATTTGGTTGTGTATCTATATCTGGTTTTGTGATAAAATTTTTAAAGCCGGAAGACATTAGCTGGATTGAGCCTCAGTCAGTTCCCACTTGTATGCTTTCACACCTTAGAACCATGAAAATTACAAAGTGCAAGGGGAGAAAGTGTGATATACATTTCCTTGAATACATATTGGGGAATTCAGAGGTTTTGAAGACAATAACAATCATATGTGGAAGTATGCGCATGAAGGATGAAATGGAAATGTGTGCACGCTTATTAAAGTTTCCAAGAGCTTCTAGGTTTTGTGAGATTCATTTTGTTGGGAAATGGCTTAATTCTATAGGTAAATAGAAGAATATATATATATATATATATATATATATATATATATATATATATATATATATCCTGCTTACTATTTTGTTTGTGCTTTGCATTCCACTTTTACCTGGTTACTTTTTCCCTTGATTTCTTACTAACTGTTTGTGTTTTTGCTTTGAGGAATGGGCTAAATGCAAAAAAATTGCAATGTACTTTTCTTACGACTGTTTATGTTTTTGTTTGTGCTTTGTGCTGTTATTATTTGTTTTTCATACCAAATACATCATAATAGTGACAATCTACTAAATTACAACATTGTACTTTGAAATTTTCTTATAGCAATGAAAAATTATATCTAGATGACATTGTTATAAAACGAGGTTATTTTTCAAAGTGTAATATTGAAATCTGACAAAATAAAAATAAAATTAGAATGCTGTAATTAACATATATGAAAGCACTCATTTATAGCAAAGCACTTTATTTATTTATTTTTGACAAAATTGCAAATTTGGTCCCTTTGGGACTTTGGTCCAAAATGTTTTGGCGTTGCACCATTGGTCCAAAAGGTTTCATTTGTTGTGACTTTGGTCCAATTTGTTTTGAACTTTTAAAAGACAATTATACTCTTACCTTCTCATTATTTTTCTTTTTCTTTTTTCATTTCTATATTTATAAGAAAATAAAAAATAAAAATCCTACCTGCATTACATACACTCAAACCCAAACCTGCAAACACAAATATTCGTCATCACCGGACCTCCGGCTCTCTGACGAAGGCGACTGCCACCACTCGTCGGAACTTATGAACGCTACCGCCACCATCGCCAGTCTATACCACCACTACATGTCAAAACCACCACCACCATTGATTTCCCGACAAAGAGAAATCGAAGGGTAAATAGTGGTGGATGATCTCCGACAACGACCAGCTGGTGGGCGGTGCTCCATCGATTTTCATAGATTTTAAAACCGACGACAACCTCGTAGATATGAAAACCGAAGACGACAGCGACTTCGCCTGTGCCACCAGAGTTGTTTGTCACCGACGATAAGGGTTTGGCTAGGACCGTTGCAGCGGCGCTGAAGTCTGTGATCGAGTTTCCAACGTCTTCGTCAAGGTTTCAGTGTCGCCGCATGTCGAGGTTTTGCAGACCCGAGCTAGGGTTTGTAGAGGTGTTTTGATTTGAGGATCCGGCAACGACCAGTTGGTCGTCGCTGTCTGTTGCGGTCGAGTTTCTAGCTCCGATATCCGTTTGTGGCTCGAGTTTTCATCGTTGTCGCCTCTATAGACAGGTAGTGGACAAAGAACTCCGATCTCCGTCTGTGGATGGACGGAGAAGTCGCTCATGTCTCTCTTCTTTTTCGTAGTTCCAAGTGTATCTCTTCGTCTCCCTCCTACCAACGACGGCTTCAGGTGGTGGTGGTTGTGCTACCAACGACGGCTTCTTGTGGTCGTGGCTGTGTTGTTGACCGGTGATGTTGTGATAAGTGATAAAAGGGGTGTTTACAAAAGGGTGTTGTTAATAAGACACCCCTTAGACACCCTATTATTACTTTTATAAAAAATCAATCTATAATCAACTACTTATAATCAGTTTTTTCAGAAAACAATGCAATTTCAACCAATAAAAATATTTTAAAAATTAATTAGGGTGTCTATATGGTAAAAACACGTGGTTTATATACCAACAAAGTTGTTTTGAATGTCCCTAATCTTAAATACCTTTTTGCTGGTGGATACATCTGCCCAGATTTTGTGATGGAAGAATTGTCATCTTTGATTGAGGCAACTGTTTCTTTTAGTAGTATAACATATTATGATCAGAAGGTTGAGCTTCTGAAAGATTAAGTGGAGTTAAATCACTTTCATTGTTCACTTCAACTCTTAATGTAAGATTCCCTTAAAAAAAAAAAAAACTTCAGTGTATATTACTTTCTTCATTCCTATGAGGCTTTTTTAATTAGGAGCATGTTATGTGCAACTTTTAATATGCTATCTTTCTTGAAGGTCTATGTGCTCACCTTTACCCAAGTTTCCCAATTTGAAGCGTTTGGAATTGAAGGAATCTTCTAAATCTCCATGGATCTTAGTTACTCAAATTCTTGAAAGCTCTCCTGAGTTGGAGCATTTATGTTTTGAAGAGGTAATTGGGGCATATCCTATTCTATGTTTCCTAAGTTATTATTCCACATATAACATAACATTTGGTTTTGTGATAAAATTAAAGCCGGAAGATATTTACTGGATTGAGCCTCAGTTCCCACTTGTATGCTTTCAAACCTTAGAACCATGGAAATTACAAAATGTAAGTGGCAAAAGTGTGATATACAGTTCCTAAAATACATGTTGGGGAATGCGGAAGTTTTGAAGAGAATAACAGAAGCATGTACAAGAAGGATGAAATGGAAATGTGTTCACAGCTGTTGAAGTTTCCAAGGGCTTCTAGGTTTTGTGAGATTCATTTTGTTGGGAAATGGCTTTATTCTATAGGTAACTAGAACAAGAATATATGTCCTACTTACTGTTTTGTTTATGTTTTCCATTCCACTTTCTCCCATGTTTTCTTACAACTGTTTGTGTTTTTGCTTTGTGGAATGGGCTAAATCCAAAAAATTGCAATGTACTTTTTCTACAACTGTTCATGTTTTTGTTTGTGCTTTGTGCTGTTATTATTTGTTTTTCATACTCTGTATTTGTTTGGTTGACATTGCTACGATATGATATAATTTCAAAGTAGAATGGAATTATTTTGTATATGGATGACATTGTTAGAAAAGTAGGATGCAATAAACAAACAGTTTAGGATCTTGTTACACATTATAGCAATGTATTTTCCATTTTTTACACCACTTATCAACTTATCGTGTATCTATTTTTACTTGTAAAAAAAAAAAAAAAAACATACTCCATTGCATTAATCAATTCAATTCATCTAATCTAATGCTTAACAAAGAAAATGTACATCATTAAATGAATTAGCAGTAAATAGAATCTTTTAGTTTAGCTTATACATGAAAATAAACAAAATCCTTTTTGTGACTACTTTTTTCGCATCTTGAATCTGGATACTGGTTTGGATGCAGGAGTAGGTGGTTGACTGGTTTGACTTTTCTCCGTGTTATGAGTGTGCTCCACAATAGAACCCGTAAATGCCTGCAAACCATACATTTTCATATTATCATTAAACAAACTAAAGATGCTTGAATTTCCACAAAACTTACCTTGCTACTATCATTTCGAGTGCTCAAAACCTGCAAAACATATCATATGCCAGTTGTTATCATAATTAATATCATCATCATCATCATCAGGCAAACAAATCAAAGATTCCTACTATACCTCGTTTTTGGACACAGGTGTATTGGGCAAACTCTCCAATTTCTTTTGCTCTACAGCTCTTGGAAGAGTGTTGTTGGATGCACTGGATGTTGGAGCTTTTATATTTGAAGATAAATCTAAATCTGAATCTGAATCTGAACAAACAACTTTTGAGCACAATGATCTTGAAAACTAATGAAATTCAAACAGACAAATGGGTCAAAATATACAATACAACCATAAATCTTAAAGAAAGCAGACTCACTTTTGGATACAGGAAGAGCTGATGACTCTTTTGGCTGCAGTTTTCAAGTAAACAGACTAATTAATAACTAGTTGACTTTTGACCCATATCAATAAAATACAAACCAAATTGACCTTTTTATTTTTTCATATAAATAGACTGGAATTGCCACTTCTAATAAAAATGGAATTAAAATCATTCAAACATAATAAGAAAAGATGAAGAAAGATTAGCTACTCAACTTTACTTATTATTTAATAACTCAAGATCTAACCTCTGAATGTATAATCTCAGGTTCAATATGTGTATGACTTAAAAGGTGACTTAAATCAGGTTTATCTTCATCTTCAGCTTCTTCAGCCATTTCTGATTCCATTTCTTCTTTTTCAAGTTCATCAATCCGGGATAAGATACGAGCAAAATCATCTTCACCTGGTGTTGGTGTGTCCTTTTCTTCTTCATCAGAAACTTCATCAACATAGTCTTCTCTTATTTCTACAACACCCTCCTGTTTATATAATGAATACATTAATAACTCTGTATCAAGATCTATATTAAAAAAACATAATTAAGGGTAGAGGACTTACTGCAGCCTCAGTAGCTGTTTCATCAAAAAAGGAGGCCTCATACTTGAGATCCTTTATCACAGCATTAAGGTTTTCAATTTGTGACTCTAGATCCTTTCCTCTTCTTTTCAGAATCTCAATTGTTTGTTTTGATGTTCTATCAGCATAGTAACCTTCTCCTAATAGAACCTGTATATGACTTATAATTATGAATTCTAAACAGAGAGAACTGATGAACACCCAAATTACAAAATTACCAGGAATTCATTAGTATGTATCAATTTTCCAGGAAAGAACGCTGCCTTCCCAAAAGGAACCTGAAAAACAAGCCACAAATATTCACATTTTCACAAACACTGAAATTACTATGAATGAAATGAGAAATTGATTATAGGTGTAGAAGACTTGCCATTATATCATGGTGCAATTGATCAGGGAGCTTCTTAACAAGATTGACAAGGTTTGTGTTGTCATTGAGGAAGCCTTGGAGCTGTTGAACCTGTTTTTGATGTTCAGATATTTGTTCTTGGACACGTACTGATGCTTTTTGGGCATCCTCAGGTGAGTATATTGAAGATAATGATGTCACTGTTCCCTTCACAGGTTCTCCCATGGCCCACCCACCCTGTTCCCTCTGAATATTGTGTCCAATCTTGTAAAAGAATCAATTAAAGGGTAATATGGTCATTTTTAAAACAAATATTAAAAATCGGTAATGGAATCAATAAAAGGGTAATGTACAACATTTGAACAAGCTCCGTCTTCAATTTGTAAAAGAATCAACAAAAGGGTAATGTAATGTACTTGTTTGTTTATAATGTCAAATTTTGAGATTGCTATTTCCACATCTTTACATGGTTGTTTGTTACATCAATGATTTATATAAATACATCATGTAAGATGAAATGATTCACCATAGTGGAACAAAACTATGAGAACATCTACAACATTTGAACAGGTTCCATCTTCAAATTGGCTGCTAGTTCCTTGTTTCTTTCTTTCTCATACCTATTTATAACAAATCTTGAAACCATTAATGCTTCCAAAACCATATTCTTTTCACTAAGTACACATCTATAAAAATACATTTGAATCCTAACTTATTACATATATAATACTATGAACAGCCATATCCATTTTGCATTCGAAATGTAATAGCTGTAGAAGTTTCAGATGCAAAGAGACTTCATGGCTTAATATTCATAATACGTAAGGGGGTGCAATTATAATCTGGAATTCCTTCAAGCCACAACAAATTCAATTCAATACAAATCAGTGCAAGCACATAATCATGTTTCCCTGTCAATTTGCCCAAAAATTTAAACAGATATCATTTGATTTCATTTTCTTCACCCCATATCTCCCAAAACTTCAATAAAAACCAGAGATTATAGACTATAAAATAAAAAAGAATAAACCCTAATGGAAAAAAATGCAGTGGCGCCGATGATGGAGGTTCTAAACAAGCAAAAAAATCCAACTCGATAACAGAATCGCTGAGAGATTTACCGGAGGTGTCGCACTCTGTCGGAGAGGAGGGGCTCCACCGGCAGGGTGTCGCTGGAAAGCGCTGGACGGCGGGGCGGGGTTGGACGGAGGTCAGAGGTGGGAGGAGCCGGCGCCAAGAGAAACGTCGGAGGTGGGAGAAGCTGTCGACGTCGAGAACTGAGAAGAAGAGAAAGGGGCTGTCGAAGTGAGAATGAGAGAAAGGGAAATTGAGGTTTTTTTCTCTCAGTTATATTTTCTTTTAGAGTAAATCGGTCAAAATTGCACGGTTGGTCCTTAGCTTTTATTTTACACTTGGATTGTTCCTATGGTTTGATTTTGTTGCGTTTGTCATCCCTTGCATACATAAAGTTAGGTACCAAACGTGCAATTCTGACCAAACCATAGGGACGAAAAACACAACAAAATCAAACCATAAGGACGATTCGAGTGCAAAATAAAAGTTAAGGACCAAACGTACAGTTTTAATCAAACCATAGGGACAATTTTAGTAATTTACTCGAGTTTGGGAGTGCATTTTAAAATGTTTTCCAAATTGTAACTTTATAGGTAAAAAGAATGGGTTTTCCAACATAATTTCCGGTTTTTCTAAAATGCCAATAAGCATTTTGAGAAGCAATCTCAAACATGCCTTAATTCTGCTATAACCAAAAGATGGAGAGTCGAGACACAAAGATGGAGTAGGGTTAGGGTTTCTAGGTTTTTGCTTTTTACAGTAACCAAACATTACAACTAAAATTATTAATTAACTAGCCAATAGCCCAACTGTATCATATGTATTGCCCTTCAAGTCCGCTTTAGAAGACACGTGGATTTAAAAGAATAGTTTAGAAGTAGAATATATTTGTTGTTCCAAAAAATAACAAACAAACTAGTGAATTCCCATATGTTGCACATGAATTTCGTTAATTAAATAAGATATTGTAAGTTATATATATATATATATATATATATATATATATATATATATATATATATATTAAAATAAGTTAAGATGCTTGGTCTGCGGGGGAGGGGGTCATATGTAAGTCTGATGTCCATAATTCTTTCATAATTGAATAGAGGTCGATCGATTACATATTTGATAATGATCAAGTGTTGAGGAGAAGATTATATAGTGCATAAGAGAATATGATAAATTTTATAGGAAATTACGCCAATGATAATCATTAATTTAGGGGTGAGCAAAATAGAACCCGGAAACCGAGAAACTGAAAAAACGATGAAATCAAAACCAAACAGAAACCGTCGGGTTTGGGTACTGAAATCAAAAACCGCAAATTTTGGTTTCGGTTTTAGGTTGGGTTATATTTAAACCTGTCGAAAAACCGAACCGACCCATTATGTGTAAAGCCATTCTTTTTTACATACTTTTGGCATCTCTTTAACTAGAGAGTTCATTTTTGTCATTTCACAAAATGACCTTTCTCTCTTTCTTTGCATTCTAGACCCAAACCCTCTTGGTTAGTCAATCTACTAAACTCATATGCTTCAGGTTATTTATCTTCATATATCTTCATCCGCGTACCTTACATCTCTTAGCATGGTTTATCACAAAACCAACTCATGATCTTTGTTTCTCATCTATCTTCCATAGTTTAAAATTAGGAATAGACATACCAAACCTAATTCACTTAAACTTTGGCTCTAATATCAATTGTAACGACGCCGATTTTCTACACATAAATCTAAAGGAATTATCATATTTTTATCTAACGATGCAGAATTATGCTAAAATTAAAACACTTTAAGTCTTAGGTTAATCACTGTTTATAAAAAAAACTACTACATACAATGAACAATAAGGAAATAGAAAATAATATCCTACTATCTATTTCTTGTCCTTGTGCTCCTGCCTTCTCTTCTTGTACCACGATCGCTACCAGAACCTATAAAACATAAATCTCAACTACATCAGACAAACATGTCTCGTGAGTTATTCTTTCTAATTTGTTTCATATACTCTTTCTTGCTTTTCTCTTCTTTCTATTGCTCTACAATTTAATCTATTTTTTCAAAGCATACATTGTTTGTAACATCTTAATATCGAGGTATTGCCATTTTTAACCCCAAGTATGAAAATCTATTGCACTTTTGCCCTTTGTGTGAAAGGTTGCTGCAAAATGGCCCATAGTGGCATTTTTGTAATTTTTGGGTGTGGGGCACGTACGCTGAGCGTACATAGCGTACATTACAGGATCCCAAACCCTAATTTTTAGGGTTTGTACCCTATTTAAACATCTTAATGTCCCAAGTCTCATTCCCTTCATCAGCCTCCAGCCCCATTTTGACCCTCTATGTAACACCCCGTTTAGTAAATAAATAAATAGATAAAATTAATATGAATTGTGGCCCTAAAATCCATAATTATATAGCAAGGTGTTGGTCTCGAGGAGCTAATTGTCACAATTTTAGATATTGAGGGTTAAAAGTGTAAAATTCGGATTCATGTTGTAAATATTTATGAAGACAGGAGCTCCGTGGTAATTATTGGAACTTAAGTTGAAAAGAATGAGAGGAGGAGGGACTAAAAATGTTAACATGGCTGAAGTTTGATCATTAGACCTAAATTGAAAAGAATTTAGAATTCTGAGGGCTAAAGGGTAAATTTTGGACCTAAGTTGAAAAGGTTTTATTAAGAGGGGGGGCTGCTTGGTAAAATGTTGGACTTAATTTGAAGGGATTTTAGATGGCTGGGGTTAAAAAGGTAAATATGGATTTATTTTGAAAGAAATGGGGGGGGGGAGGAGGGACCATTTTGGTCATTATGGAAACAAGTTGTGGGGATCGGGGTATTTAAACCCGTCACCCCCAGTACTAACCCTAACCCTAAAGGGGGATACACCAGTCGCCACCCTTCCGGCGTCGCACCACCCTTGTACCTCCAAGCTTCTGGCCACCACCTTCTAGCCACCGTGAAGCCACCGTTGAGGCGTCATTGTAGTCGGGATCGTCGTTGTTCGTGTTGCTGCCGTCGGCTGTAGGCGCAACTATGGCTGTCGTTCGCTGCCGCCATTCTTTTTCCTTCTTCCTTTCGTTCTGCTGCCGACGGCCACCGCTTTATCGCCACCATGGCAGTGGGTGACCGGAGGGGACTCGTTTATGGGTTGTCGTCGTTGCGCCAATTTCCGGTGGGAGTTACCCACCCTCTTCACTCCTTCTTCTACCCCATTCGTCGCCACTATCGCGGTTGTCCGATTACCGCCGTCAACGCAGCTTCTGCCACCTTCCTGTGATGCTACCATCGTCGTACGCCACCAGGTGGGTGGCGGGGTTCTTTTGCGAATGAAAACAGTTTGTGTGTGTGATGTATGTAGTGATGTTTGGCCGGAATTCACGAGGACAACCACCATCACCACCGTGAGGTGGTGACTGCCACCATTTGCCACCGCCGGCCACCACAAGGGTGGCTGTGTGTGTGTGTGTGTTTAATTGGTTTTTTTGTGTTCTATGTTGTAATTTGTAAAGGAATAATGAAAAGAAACTCATAACCACCACCGTGAGGTGGTGGCTGCCGCCACCAGCCGTCGTGTTGGTTGCGGTGTGCTTAGTTGTGTTTGGATTGCTTTTGGAGTGCTTGGGCACGATTGGACTAAAACCATAACCACCACCGTGAGGTGGTGGCCGCCGCCGTGAGCCGCCATTGACCACCACTACCCGAGCTGGTAGTGGGTGGTGCCCAACTCATGAAACCCTAGTGGGCCTAATGAAACCCTAATGGGCCCAATGAAGCCCAAAGTGATCTAAAAGCTTAACCATGTAACTAATGGGCTAGTATTTGGGTTGGAAACCCTAATTAGGGTTTATAAAACCCTAATGTCATGAAACCCTAATTTTGGGGATTGATCGGGACCCGCACTAGAATTATTTGCTAAACTTAAAACAATTAATTAATAATCATTTGCAATAAATCTAAGGCAATATTGGACTTAATGGATTAAGTCCTTAATGGGTTAAGTAAGAAACACTTAACCCTAATCGACATTTTATGTAAAAACCCTAATCTTGCTTGGGCCTTAAGTTGGGCCTTTCCATTGGGTTTTGGTGATTGGGCTAATAATGGGCCATTCAAGAACAAATTTATGGACTAAGAATATATGAATGAGCTTTAGGGTAAGGCTCATATGAGGGTTTGGGCCCAATTTGGAAAATTAGGCTATAGGTGGGCCATAATTGGGCCTTCATGATTATGAGGTATTGGGCCATTAGAAATGCCAAATGTTGGACTGGACTAAATGGTTGGGCCTTAGAATAAGATCATGTAAAGGTTTGGGCCCAATTTGGAAAATTGGGCCATATGTTGGGCTTTGATTCATAGTTTAACTTTTGGGCCTTTGGACTGGGCCTTGAGTCGAATCAAGCTAAGATAGGGGTAAAGCAGTCTTTTACCCCAAGCATAGACTTATGATTTTTATGTTGGAACCCAATTATGAATTGGGTGTTGTTTTGATATTGACAGTTCGGGAAGCTGTCATCCAGCAGCTAGAGTTTTGTCTACGAGACTTCAACAGTGTGAGGTGAGTTACCTTCCAGTAGAAGTGGGTCGAAGGCACCAATGTCGGCCCACTAGTAGTTAATTATAGTTGAGATGATTGTCTTTGTGATAATTGTCTGGTATGCCGCTATCTGTTATGTGTTATGTGCTAGTATGCTATGTTGTTATGTGATAGTGGTATTAGGAGGGGAGTAGTCTCCGTGTTACGGTCGTTAGGACCGAAGGGTAGGTTGGGCATCCCAGATAGCCTGACAATATGTTTTTGTTATGTTGTTATGTGGTAGTGGTAGGGGTGAAATAGTCCCCGTAGCCGGTTGAGATAAACTGGAGGGTAGGTCAGGCACCCCATAATGGGCTGATAAGGTGGGTCGAGCACCCCAGAAATGCTTGACATGGGTAGGTCGGGCACCCCAGAATGGCCTGACAGGGTAGGTAGAGCACCCCAGAAATGCTTGACATGGGTAGGTCGGGCACCCTAGAATTGCCTGGCAGGGTAGGGCGGGCACCCCAGAATTGCCTGGCAGTATGTGTTTGGTATAGTATGTGGTATGATGGGGGAACTCACTAAGCTTCGTGCTTACGGTTTTCAGTTTTGGTTTCAGGTACTTCGTTTTCAAATGAAAGGAGCCAGCTCGATCGCAGCGCCACACTATGTTTTTCCACACATGAGATCTTTGGGATTACACTCTGATATTATTTTATGATAACACATTTGATTATTGACACTTTCATTTTGACATGAGATGTTATTATGGATGTTTTTATACTTATGGTTTTATAACAACTTATTTAAAAATGAAATTTTTGGCCTTGAATTTTGGGATATTACAAGTTGGTATCAGAGCCTTGGTTTGAGGGATTCGGGCACACTCTCGGGTGTGTCTGGACTCAAACTAAGGACTTGGCATGAAAATTTTGAAAAGTAAAATCATTTTATAAAAAGAAGTTTGAAAAGAATTTGAAAAGAGAAAAGAACTTTGAAAAGAACAGGGTGTGTGATGCGTGTAATCAGCCGAGCTCAA